AGGAAAAAAACAAATGTGAAATTTTCAACATCATTAAAATTATAAAATGTTCTTAATGCAATATTTCAGTAACACCAATTTTACAGTTAAGAGCGTTCCATTTCATTATCAATAAAATTTCACAAGCGTCTTTATATCTTCGCATTCAGTCAAATTTCTTAGTTCACCATATAAAAAATTCTACCCATGTCATCACGAACCATTAAATTTATTTCCTCAGGGAGAACTTCATATGATTTAAAAGTGATCATCACTATAAATTGATCTACACCCAATCACATCAAACAAATCGATCGTGAAGACTTATCTATCAGATAAATTGTTTTTTGTACATATATGATTCAGATTTCATAAATTTTATGAATATTTCATATAGGATAAAAATGAAGCCGAGATGATAAATGAATGCCAATTGAATTTCTGATGGAGACCACGAACTATCAAATCTGAAATGCAAAATGTTTGAAGCATCTGAAATTTGATTCCAATTCATAAACTGATGGACAAGCAAATCAACCAGTATAAATATGAAACCAGGATTACTTCAGTGTCATTCGAATTTTTTCTAAGCCATAGGGCGGTCCTGAGGATACCTGAACAGGACTGTCCGTAATAGTTTTAGCCGGGAGTGTTCAGGTGAAGAATAATCAAACTATNAAATGGACTCTGTTAAATCGGTATTTTCATCAGTTGTCTTCTTATATGAGATGCGAATCACACATTTGCTATAACACAAGAGAATAGCTGTCGTAGAGACAGGAGAAACGAAATATACAACTCAATTATTCAAAGAATGATCCATCTTCCAATTCTGGAATCGTATCGTGGAGAATTTCTGTTCTCGTGTATAACTGAAGATTGGACTATGACTTCTGAGCTATTGCTGCTTGAACTGAGTCAAGAATGCGCTGAACACAGCATTCATTTCAGAAAATTGGTTCAATCTTGATCTGAACTCATCCATTCAGAATGATTTTAGAGCGAAAGTTTGCGAGAAGCGTTGTCTGAAACAGAAACGAGCAGTTGGAGTACGGGAATTCTGCACATTGGAAGAGCGTTACTGGAAGCAGCGAGGCACAATGTTGCCCTGGATATTCCTCTTCATTCAGATTTCGTAGGCGATGAAAAAGCAAATGACAAACAACAGAATGGAACTGTGTTAAACATCAATAATGAGTGTGATCAAGGTGCAGTCTTATTGGAAGGCAATAAAATGGTACAGTCACATTCAATAACTCGTATCCTTCCTTATCATATCAGTGGTTTCTTAAGAAATAATCAGTTTCATGACATTGCCTTGCAGGTTAAGCTGGACTGCTATGAATTCGCACAGATCTCGCCGTATTTCCGTGCGGCATTCTTTGGAAACTTTGAAGAAGCAAGAACGAAACAGATCATGTTCGGAGATCCTGAGGTGATTTACCACTGAATAGTAGAATAATCTGGGTTGTATGTGGGCGATTTTAGAGACAGAGGATGATGTCGGCAACAGGAAATAGTACATTTATAATACTTGTGTCAAAATGGTGACAACTTTAATAACAATGATATTGATAATAGTAATAAGAACAACAGTATCCTTAAATGATTGTGATTGTAAGTGTAATTGCGATAAAATAGTCGTAAAATAATTCCAACTTATTATTCTACGAATGAGCGCACCATGTTCCACAGTGAGACGCAAAGAGAAGCAGAGAATGAAAATGGAATAGAGTCTGAGAAACGAGAGAATTATAGAATGATGATGATATGTAGTGAGTATCTTCCAGTTTAATTCCACGATCAGATAAATTTTCATACTGAAATTAGCAGTAATGACATTAATAATTTTACTAATTGTAAAGCTAATGGTATTAAAACGTGACGAATTTTCAGTCGGATAAATTTTTGAATTGTTTGGAATTTGTTCGACATTTGATCAGTGACGATAAAGAGAACATTGATCCATCGCTCACATCGATGAGTATCGAAAAAGCTCTCGAAGTAAATTTGATTTGGATATTGGATCGTAGTATTGAGATGTATTGCAAATGAATATGTTGCTGCTGTTAATGGAAAAATGTGGTCATTTTATCTCATAGCATCAAGTTGTCTGCATAGAAATTCCGTTTATGAATTTGAGATTTTTATATCAGCTGGTGATCCAGTTTTATCACTTGATAGCAGTTATTTATGTGATATACATCATGATTTATACATCAGTGATGCACATCGAACTTAATATCATGCAAATGAAGGAAAAGTTGATGCATAAGAATGTTCAGTCTAATGAACATCATACGTATATCCGTCACTACCATCCAAGTAAAATTACTAACATTATAAGGATTCAACATTTTCGATGCCAAAATCGTAGGCAGCTTCGTAATAAATCCAAAAAAATATGACGGAAGCGAAATTTATTCTGATATTCGATGTTCAATATTGATTACAATGACCGGCAATCATGTGTCACCATACATATGACATGAGAGAAATCTGCGGATTTAGGATTTTGCTGTAATCACGAGTAGCAATATCACTGAATCGTAATAATGTTCATTTTCAGTTACTGGATATTGCCTCATATCTTCTGATAGAACCAGCACTTCAGGTGTTGTCAGATCGAATCATAGGCATAACACCAGCATCGAAATTAGTTGCTGTTTATCATTATGCTGGTTAGAATAGCTCTTCTTTAAATTTCAAGCATATGGCATATGATTTCGATTCCACGGTTCAACGTCGATCTTTCCAAACGGAATCGCAGAACTTTGATTGATCTGTTAGTCAAAACGAATAAGTTGACAAATGCACTGCAGTAAGGAATTTTAATCACAAAGAATGAAAAAAAACAACAATGAGATGACACTGAACATCTTAGTAACGGAAAGGATATTGCTGATGGCAAAAATAACACTGATATGAAACAATGATCGATTGATTTCAGAGAATCGCTATCATCCACTTGCGAAACGATTATGGGATTTGATTGTTCGAGAATTTGATAAACTCATGGCGGGCGACGCATACTTCGAGTAATATTAATATTCTTGACTTTTGAATTTTGTGACATTTTTCAAATTGCACTCATAAACATGGCTATCTGAAAACCTTTCCATGAGTGCAATGACAAAATAAATCTTCTAGCCTGACAGAAGAAGAGATTATAAGACTGCTTAAAGATAAACATCTGAATATTGGACGCACTGAAGAAACGGTAATGGTTGAACGTTGGATTAAGGTCAGTTCAATGCTTTTTGGTAACTGAGTCATCATTATCAACGAAATCATTATTATTATATCATCATTATTATTATCATTATTATTATCGTTATTATTATTACCATTATTATTATTATCATTATTATTATATCATCATTATTATTATCATTATTATTATTGTCATTACTGAGTCATCATTATTATTATATCAACGAAACTATCACAAATAGCATTGATACAGATAAAATGATAGTGATGATTATGAATGAAAGAAACTTGAATAATGATCATGACAAAATAAATATTGAATCGTCGCTGCTTCGTGACGAACTCGTCCGCTTTCATAGTGGGCTGCAAAGAGGAATAGAGAATGAGAGCGGAAAACAGTTCGAGAAACGAGAGAAATAGAGAACGATAAACTGATCATTGTGCATATTCCGAGCTCTGATTTCATTGAAACTTCACCAGAATATGTTCTTCATCTCAAAGTTATTCCAACAGAACCTTCAAAGTCTTTGTTTGAACAAGAAGGGTGGAATAAATTTGGGAAGTGAGATTTGAAGTTGAAATAAATGAATGCTAGACATTGAATTCACACATTTATGCTTATTGTGGCGATCGAATTTCTAGAATGATGCGAAATAATATAGGTTTTCATCAAAAACTTATCAAATACTCATGCGAATAGCCATAAACACGACGAGATCATAAGTAGTATTGTCGATCAACAATAAAGTAAATTCAAATGATTTCATAAGTTTTATTCACAACTTCCAAAAAAAATCACTTCAAAATTAAGAATATGTTTATTTGAATGGGAAAACGGAATGGTTTCGTTTATTTCTTGAAAGAACAGGAAAATTTCTTTGAACTTGAAATGTAGTATGTGTATGACTTTTAGGAAAACCGTTGGAATGGAAACAGTGTTGACATTTTACAACGGTTTCTGGATAACGCGAAAAATACTGGCGTTGGATATTATGAGTTTGGTTCGAGGATACCGAATAGTGTCCTCGTTGCGAGTGGTCAGTTGGAATTTTGATGTAACATTTCAGTGGGTTAAAATTGACTGGTATCGATGATAATACTGATAATAGTCCTAGCAGTAATATGGAACAAATAAAAAATAGTAATGGCGTTAGTGATAATCAATGTGATTAAAACAATGATCATATGGACAATAATGTCGATGTGACATCGAATAATGATACCAACGTTAGCAGCTCCATCAAACGACAAAAACAATGACCACGCATAGAAGTGGGTTGTCTCGCTACTTCTGTAGTTACCGAAATAGCGGGATAGCTATTTCGCTAACTTTCGCTATTTAGTGATAGGAATGATATTACCCACTTCTGGCCACGCTAATCATAACACAACAATGAAAATACTGTTCATAACAGTGATAAAATGATATCAGTTCTGTTCAAATAGCAATGATAATGATGGCAATACCAATAAAATCACCAAATGAAATTGATTTTGGGTGGATGGTCAAGTAATGGACCAACGATGGTTGTGGAAACACTGGATCTAAGAGCGCAGCGGTGGGTTCAATCAGACATACAGTTATTTGAAACACCTCGGGCATATCACGGTGTTGTGAACACTGGAAAGGATTTGTTCACGATTGGAGGATTCAATGGGACGAATTATTATCGCTCGACAAGAAAATTCAATTTAGATACACAGGTAACAGTACTGATCATTAGCAATGACGCCATATGATATATCAGTAACAATGACGATATCAGTAATTCAAATTCTTCGGCACAGCGTTTTTATTACATCGTAAACTGCGACGACGAATAGGAAATGAAAATAGAAAAGAGTTCGAAAAAAAAATGAACGTGGAGTGAAGGCGCTGATCAGTATAAGAATGTCTGATTCAGTTTCGATTAGAATTTATGAAGAATTGCATTATATCG